GAAGGTTTGAGGGACATACGTGTCAGACACCAGTGAGCCAGGGGGTAAGGGGCAGCCACGACTGTCTTCCAGGGGCAGAGGCTGGGGCCCAGAGAGAGGCATGCACATGCTCTGTGTCACACAGCTCAGCTTTTACTCCGAGGACCCTCTGCCTCCGCATCCTCGCGCTGTTCTCTCTGCCCTGCTGCTGGGCTCCTTCCACCTGGAATCCAAACGGTTCTGCGGTGAAGGCCTGGCTGTCCCGTTTTAGAGGCGAGGACTTGGGGCCCAGAGCGGCCTGCCGAGGAACCCTCGTGAGGTGGAGCAGAGACAAGACCCAGTGTCCAGCCCCGGGGATGGCAGGCTGTGTCGAGAGGGCAGTGCCATAGCCTGTCTCTGGGACCCTGGCCTGGTGCTGGCTCCCAGCAGGGAGAGGTGAGGTGGCCGCCTGCCCTGGGAGTTCTGGCTCCGGGGAATGGCATTGACACGGACAGTGTCACCTCGGGGGGCCTTGGCCAGTCTGTCCCAGGCTGGCCTGTGCCAGGGCTGCCCAGCGCTTGCCAGTGAGATTTCCCTGGCTGAGCCTCGTGTCCTGCTCCTGGAACACCAACTGGACCCTCCGATGCCCCCGCGGGAGGGTGGCCCTGTGAGCGGGAGCCTGAGGCGGAGCATTTGCTGGGTGTAAGCAGACACCGTCTCCGCGTGTCCTGGAATTCCATGGGAGCCCGGGAGATGGTGGAGAAGCTGAGGTTCGGAGAGGGCCTCTGAGCTGGCCAGCCCTGCTGCGTCTTCCTTGCTGACCCCTGCTCCCCACCTCCACCCCCCCCCCCACACACTTGGCCAAGGGACACTGAGGCAGGTCTCACCTGTCCATCCTCTCACCTGGCCCCAAGACGCTGTACCCTGGGCAGCAGCCCTGTGAGGTGAGCATGCACGTTAGCCCATTGCAGCCTCGAGCGCTAGGAAGCATTCATCCCACTTTATCGATAAAGAGCCTGTGTCCTGGGTTAGCTGGTGGGGTTGGGGGTGGGGGAGGTCATGCATGTCAGGGCAATTGCTCTCAGAAGGGATTCGAGGTTGGCAGGTCAGGATCTGTCACTGCCACCAGCGAACATGTCCCTTCCCCAGACCCGGCCCCCGGTTCCCCTCCGAGAGGGCCTGGGAGTGGGCTGAGCTGCTCCTCCCAGCTCGGAACGAAGTGCTCGGATTCTGGGTCTGCAGAGGGCTCCTCAGCCTCCTGGCACCGGGGGAAGGAGGGCGCAGACATCCGCCGCTGCCTCCGGGGGCAGGCGTTGCTGAGGCCTGGAGACAGGGAGCCACTGGCCCAGGGTGACTCAGCCGGCGTGTCCCTCCCGCTCTGCACCAAGACCCTGCCTCTCTCTGCCTCCCAGATCCGCTGGGCCTGGCTGACTCTCCTCCTCCTCCATCCAAGGGTGTCCCCGTAAGAAGGGACATCAGGTGGTGTGTGGTCTGCTGGACTGGGGCCCACCCCAGGATCCCTCCATGCACGCTGGCCCCCAACTTTGCCACGTTCCTTCTCTGGGGGGGAAGGGAGAGGCACCGTAGAGAGGTGCGGGTGGGCACTTGGGGCCTGCCCCTGCTCTGGCCAGAGGCCCCCCCGGCCGCTACACCTGTGTGTGGGATGGGGGAGGGGAAAGGACCCCACACAGTGTGGACAGGGGGATGGAGGGGTCCCTGCAGGCCAGGAGCACTGCACCGGGCCAGATACTGTGCTGGCCCGGACTGCGCCATCAGCCAGGCCTGCCGGGCTCGGCGCCATCCAGGCCTGGGCAGAGAAGGCCTCTGCTCCCAACAGCTGTGGCTGCCGCGTCCCCTCCCCCCAGCTGGTCACAGGCTGTATTTCAGCGGCTCAGCTGGCCCCGTGCTCCTCTGTCTCCGGGCCCCCGGGTGAGCGGTGGGTGGGCAGCAGGTGCTGCGTCCTCTCCTCCACCCCCTCCCATCCATCACCTCTGCAGACGGCTGGTCCCTGTGTCGCAGACGCAGCCTCTGTTCCTCGTCTCTCCGCTCGGCTGTCGGCATGTTCTGCTTTGCAGTCCTTCCCAGCCCTGCCTCCTGCCTGCAGCTCCCTCACCTCTTCCTTCTCTCCCGGCCTCAGGTGTGTGTGAGGCAGCATTCCCCCCCCCCCCCCCCCCCCCGTGTGCTGGGGAGCCACCCTCACGAACCAGACGGCAGGGGAAGGGTGTGATGCTCAGGCCCACGGGAACCCCTCCGGCCAGCAACCCCCCCCCCCCCCCCCCGTGAGTGGGTGTGCAGCAGGCGGGGGGCCAAGTGCTGTCGTCAGCGGCTTCAGAGCCTTGCAGTCCCATCCGGGCTGCGTCAGGCCTCCCCGGGGGGTAGGCGGGCGGCCCAGGGACAAGGACAGGGACGGGGTAGCTGACACACGGGACAGGGTGACGGGGATCCTCCCCCCCTCTGTCTGAGCCTCAGGAGAGAGTGAGGGTGGGGGGAAAGCTGGACGCTGGCCCAGGCCGTCCTGGAGACCAGGAGGAGTGGGAGGAAGGGCCATGGGCAAGGTCACCTTGGGGGCTCAGGTGCGGGGAGCTCCGAGTGGCTGGGGTGGGGGTTGGGAAGGGAAGAGATGGCATAGGACCAGTTCCCTCCCAAGCCTGGTCCCTTCTCCTCTTCCCTCTTCTCCCTCCCCCTCAGCCGTTTCACATCCCCCTCCGCTCCCCCCAGCACGGCCTGAGGAGGTCCCGAGGCTCCAGCAGCTCAGCTCTGCCCGGCAGCCCCTGCGCCTGGCTGAGGGGCCCTGGTCTAAGCAATTCAGGTCTGAGGGCGGGGGTGGGGCAGGGGGGTCTCTGTGGGGCTCACATTGCACATGTGCACACATGCATGCACATCACACATGTGCTCAACATGTCAACATATAGGTAAGCGTTTGCCGGCGTTCCCCTGAGATGCCCCCCACGCCTATGTTCACCTCTGTAAGTGGCCACGAGGCCACGTAGCCCGTGCACACAGACGGCCGTGCGTGCTCTTGCCTGCCGCACCCCCGCCTGCTTGTATGTGTCAGCACACGCTGCGCCGGCGCTCAGAGCCGCGCACACCTGCGCGTGCACCTGCATACAAATGCGGTCCCCGGACGTTCTCCTGGGAGGAGGAGCGGAGGGTTCTCGGGAAGGGCGACTCGGCGACTCGGCATCCTCCAGTGCAGCCTCACAGCTTGTGTGTGTGTGTGTGGGGGGAGGGGGATAGAGTGGGGAGTGGACTGGGGCCCCCAGAGGGATGAGAGGGACTGGCTGGGGGCCCCCTCGGGGCCAGAAGCCACACTGGACAGGAGCTCAGGTCTCTGACTCCAGCCCCACGGAGACTGCATTGCACAGTCAGGGGCAGACATGCTCCCTGCTGCCTGGGCACCCCTCCTTCCAGTTGCCCCGCCCCCACCCGTCTGGCCCCCCAGCCCAAGCCGTCCTGCAGGGCCTAGGTGATCGGCCAGCCTCTGACCCCACGTCAGCCGGTATCGGAGGGGGCATCTGCACGCCCTGGCCACCTGCCACTCCGCAGACAGGCCCGCTCGGCCTCCCCGGGGCACTCCTCCTCCCCGCCACCCTCTCTCTGTCCCCAGCAGCCCTCTGGGGCCAGGCCTGCAAATTGGTTTTGCTTTAAAGACAAAGGTTTAACGTTTTTCCCCCTCAAAGTGTTTTCCTTCCTGGAGTTTCCCAGGAGCAGCAGCAGCAGGAAGCAGAGGTGGCTCCTGCGAACAGGCTTTCTTTATCCGAACACGGATTTCTCTGCCTCATCTTCTCATCCCTGGCCACTGCCCAGGGCTCGGGGGCGGGGGCGGGGGGGAGTACCGGGCTGTTCCCGCAGCCGAGAGAGCCCTGGGTGGGGGCTGGAGCCCCACCAGCCCGAGGGGCCGTGTCTGGGGCTTGGTGTCCCCACTTGGTGAACGAGGGTCCGTCAGCTCCGAGCCCTGCGCCGTCTCCCCGCCCATCTGCATCTCGGGCCCGGGCAGCCCGGCCCGCCTTGCTTCCCGGTCAGGTGGCCGGTCCCCGCTCTGTGGCTGTGCAAACCGGCCCAGGACGTGCGTCTGATCTCCGAGCTGGGCTCCAGGCTTCCTGAGTTCCGCCGCCTCAGGAGCCTCGGCCCTGGCCTAGGTTGTGCTGTGTGACTCATGGCAAGTCTCCGCCCCTCTCTGACGGGGCTTTGATCGAGGCCTTTGGCTCTCTTGCCTGCCTGAGGGCTCCCCGCCAGGCCTCCCCCATTCTCGGAGGAGGAGGGATTGGGGGCGGGTGTGTGTCTGGCTTCACTCTCTTGCCCTCTCTTTCCCTCAGCTCGGCTCCTGTCTATAAGATGATCTTGTTCCATGTCCTCCCTTGTCGGAGACCCCAGCCCCTGCCCCCCCTGCTTGGGGGCCCCCAGCCACGCGGCTCTGCTCCCCTCCCCATGGAAGCCAAGACAAGGGAATTATTTTTGGAACGAGAGCAGTTACACAACAAATGCATTATTTATCTCTGGGCAGGGAGGGGAGGAGGCATTTTGCTGGACTTCATAATTCTTTCCCTCGATTGGAGGGTGCCTGCCTGGGTATGTGGCCATGCGTGTGTGGCTCATTTGTCCTGCGCAAGACTAGGTGTGTGTGTGTGGTGTGTGCGCGTGTGTGCATGTGTGTGTGTGTGTGTGTCTGTGTGCACACCGTGGAGTCTGGGTCACGTGGGGGCATGCGGGTCTTTGTGTGGGCAGGTGGGCGAGCGTGGATGTGGGTGTGCTAGGGCGCATGTGAGTGCGTGTGAGTGCGTGTGAGTGTGTGTGCACCTGAACTGTTAACATGCTAGACTCCCTTCTGCGCCCACTGTCCTCAGAATCTGCCCCTCCACCCTCCCTCTAGGCCCCAGCTCCCGCTTCCCTCTCTCATCGCCCACCGCACCCCCCTTTTACATAACAGACCCCAGCGTGCTGCTGGCAGAGAGGCCCCCCGCCCCGGGAGGGTGGAGAGGGACTGGGGGCCTGCACTCGGACCCTCACACTGATCTGTCACCCCTCTCGGTGCTGCTTTTCAGGAACCAGGTGGCAGATGGGTGTCTTCCTCCCTGCCCCTGTCTCGCCGGCTCCCCCTGGGATCGTCTGAGCCCAGAACCTGAGGAGAAAGGAGAGGCGGAGGCGGAGGCGGAGGCGGGAGAGGAAGTCAAGCTCCTTCCCAGCAGAGGAGCCGCGTGGGAAGCAGGCTGTGGGGCCCGCAGCGCCCCTGGCCCCGGCCTGGCTGCTGTGCCCAGCACCTGCCGGTAGCGCCCAGAAGGCCCCCGGCCGTTGGGTCTGGCGGAGCCTGCCTCACCTGGGGCCCCTGTGCTGGGGGTTGCCCCCAAGATGGTGGCAGCCCCCGGGAGGACTGTGCTGCCCGCCCCGGCCGTGGCCCCGGCCTCCAGCCGCTAGGCCCCCCGTGCCTCCCGCCCCGAGCCCGGCCGGCGCCATGCTGCGCCTGGGGCTGTGCGCGGCCGCCCTGCTGTGCGTGTGCCGGCCCGGCGGCGTGCGCGCCGACTGCTGGCTCATCGAAGGCGACAAGGGGTACGTGTGGCTGGCCATCTGCAGCCAGAACCAGCCGCCCTACGAGACCATCCCGCAGCACATCAACAGCACCGTGCACGACCTGCGGCTCAACGAGAACAAGCTCAAGGCCGTGCTGTACTCCTCGCTCAACCGCTTCGGCAACCTCACCGACCTCAACCTCACCAAGAACGAGATCTCCTACATCGAGGACGGCGCCTTCCTGGGCCAGGCGAGCCTGCAGGTGCTGCAGCTGGGCTACAACAAGCTCAGCAACCTGACGGAGGGCATGCTGCGCGGCATGGGCCGCCTGCAGTTCCTCTTCGTGCAGCACAACCTCATCGAGGTGGTCACGCCCGCCGCCTTCTCCGAGTGCCCCAGCCTCATCAGCATCGACCTGTCCTCCAACCGCCTCAGCCGCCTGGACGGCGCCACCTTCGCCGGCCTGGCCAGCCTCATGGTGTGCGAGCTGGCGGGCAACCCCTTCAGCTGCGAGTGCGACCTGTACGGCTTCCTCACGTGGCTCGTGGCCTTCAACAACGTCACCAAGAACTACGACCGCCTGCAGTGCGAGTCCCCGCGGGAGTTTGCCGGCTACCCGCTGCTGGTGCCGCGGCCCTACCACAGCCTCAACGCCATCACCGTGCTGCAGGCCAAGTGCCGCAACGGCTCGCTGCCCGCCCGGCCCGCCAGCCACCCCACGCCCTACTCCACCGACGCCCAGCGGGAGCCCGACGAGAGCTCGGGCTTCGGCCCCGACGACATCCTGTCGGCCGAGCCGCCCGCCTCGTCCACCACCGACGCGTCCGCCGGGCCGGCCATCAAGCTGCACCATGTCACCTTCACCGCGGCCACGCTGGTGGTCACCATCCCGCACCCCTACAGCAAGATGTACGTGCTCGTGCAGTACAACAACAGCTACATCTCCGACGTGATGACGCTCAAGAACAAGAAGGAGATCGTCACCCTGGACAAGCTGCGGGCCCACACCGAGTACACCTTCTGCGTGACCTCGCTGCGCAACAGCCGCCGCTTCAACCACACCTGCCTGGCCTTCACCACGCGGGAGCCCGTGGCCGGCGACCTGGCGCCCAGCACCTCCACCACCACCCACTACATCATGACCATCCTGGGCTGCCTCTTCGGCATGGTCATCGTGCTGGGCGCCGTGTACTACTGCCTGCGCCGGCGGCGCCTGCAGGAGGAGAAGCAGAAGTCCGGCAAGGTCAAGAAGACCATCCTGGAGATGCGCTACGGGGCCGACGTGGAGGCCGGCTCCATCGTGCACGCCGCCCAGAAGCTGGGCGAGCCCCCCCTGCTGCCCGTGTCCCGCATGTCCTCCCTCCCGTCCATCGTCGGGGAGAAGCTGCCCGCTGCCAAGGGTCTGGAGGCCGGGCTGGACACGCCCAAGGCGGCCACCAAGGGCAACTACATGGAGGTGCGTACCGGCACCAGCACCAGCACCGGCACCGGCACCGGCACCAGCTCCGGCACCGGCAGCGGCAGCGGCACCGGGGCTGGCTCGGGCACCGGTGGCGGTGGGGACGGCCCGGCCCAGCCCGACGGTAACCGCCCGGGCAACAGCCAGGGCTCGGCCACGGAGATCTCCACCATCGCCAAGGAGGTGGACAAGGTCAACCAGATCATCAACAACTGCATCGACGCCCTCAAGCTGGACGCGGCCACGTTCATCGCGGTCCCCGGCAGCGGCAGCGGCGGTGCTGGCGCAGGCGGCGGCGGCGGGGGGGACCCCGAGCTGGCCTTCGAGTGCCAGTCCCTTCCCGCGGCCACGCCGGCCTCCTCGGCGGCCTCGCCGGGGGGCCTGGAGCTCCCCACCTTCCTCCCGCCCCCGTTCAAGGAGAGCGCCCACCACCCGCTGCAGCGCCAGCTGAGCGCCGACGCCGCCGTGGCCCGCAAGACCTGCAGCGTGTCCTCCAGCGGCTCCATCAAGAGCGCCAAGGTCTTCAGCCTGGACGTGCCGGACCTCCCGTCCCCCGCGGGGCTGGCCAAGAGCGACTCCAAGTACATCGAGAAGAGCAGCCCCCTCCACAGCCCGCTGGACCGGCTCCCGCTGGTGCCCTCGGGCAGCAGCGGCAGCGGGGGCAGCGCCGGGGGCGGCGGCGGCGGCGGCGGGGGCAGCGTGCACCGCCTGGAGGTGAAGCCGGCCGCCTTCCACTGCAGCGAGCACCGGCACAGCTTCCCGGCGCTCTACTACGAGGAGGGCGCCGACAGCCTGAGCCAGCGCGTGTCCTTCCTCAAGCCGCTCGCCCGCTCCAAGCGGGACTCGGCCTACTCGCAGCTCTCGCCCAGACACTACTACTCGGGCTACTCCTCCAGCCCCGAGTACTCGTCCGAGAGCACGCACAAGATCTGGGAGCGCTTCCGGCCCTACAAGAAGCACCCCCGGGAGGAGGTGTACATGGCCGCGGGCCACGCCCTGCGCAAGAAGGTCCAGTTCGCCAAGGACGAGGACCTGCACGACATCCTCGACTACTGGAAGGGGGTCTCGGCCCAGCAGAAGCTGTGACCCTCTCCTCCCCGGTGAGGCCGGAGGGGCAGGGCGGGGGCACGCGGGCGGGGAAGGGCCCGGGGGAGCCGGGCGGGGGCGGCCGGACGGGGGCGTGCCGGGGGCCGGGGCCGAGGCCGAGGAGTGGACGACGCACACGCACACCCACACGCACGCACCCACGCACACACCTGACCACCACCTGACTGTGAACAACCACCACCCGACTACTAGGGACAGGAAAACAAAGACACGTTCTCCTTAAAAGTTTACACAGATACCGACACCAGGCGTCTTTACTGTGCTGCCCAGGGACTCTGCCGGGGCGTGCGGGGCTGCTGGGCGGGAGGCCGGGCGAGGAGGCCGAGAGAGAGAGAGAGAGAGAGAGAGAGAGAGAGAGAGAGAGAGAGAGAGCGCGAGCGAGAGCGCGTGAGAGCGAGCGCGGGGCCTGGGGCCCTGGGACCAGGGACAGGTTTGGGGGCAAAGGAGCCGGCAGCAGGGAGAGGTCACACCAGGAGGTTTAGCACCAGGTGGACATGGGCGTGGCTCCCTTCCTTTACGGATGGGGAAACCGAGGCCCAGGGAGAGGAGGTGACAACCCAGGGTCCCGCGACAGGCGAGAGTCAGTTTCCCAGCTCGGAAGCCCAGCGCTAGCCCGGACCTCGAGCGGGGCCCCTGGGGCTCCCACCCTCCATCTACCCACCACCCCTTTCCAGCGGTGGTCCCCTGGGGCTGAGGGACCTGAGAATCCAGCGGGTGCTTTTTCTTTCTGGAAAGCTCCATGGCCGTGCCCGCAGAGCCTGCGGCTGCGATTCATCCTGCTGGGGGGCCCTTCGTCTCCCATCGGCACCCGGGAAAAGAGCAGAGGCATGGGGACGCCCCACCAGCCCCTTCTCGTGTCTTCCAAGCAGCCTGGGAGCTCCCTCTGGGGTCTGAGCCTGGTGGGGGGGCCAGCTCCCACCGCCTCTCAGAGGCAGGCCTCCTCCCGCCCCCCAGCTCTCTGAGTCCCCGGGACCCTTGCTCATCCCGGGGACCAGCAGCGAACCGGGATGCTGGGAGTAGCGTGGAGGCGGGCGCCCCTCCATCCTGACCTCCGACCTGTCTGACTCCCATCATGGGGTCTTGGGGCAGCGCCTCAGCCTGCCCGGAGGAAGGAGGCTCCCCACCCCGCTGCCCCTCCCGGCTGCCCCTCCTCCGGGCCCGAGGGGCCCCCGTATTTACATCCATATATGGAAACGGCCCCTCCTCCTTCGCTGACCCCCACCCAACATCGAACAAAGCACAAACAGTGAGCACCCCCCTTGCTGGTGGGGAGCAGGCTGGGTTTGTGGGGCCCCTCCCTGTCCCTGGTTGCCTCTGTCACCATGGCAACCCAGAGCCTGGCAGTTGGGACCGTTGGGCTCCTGGGGGTGGGCTCCTGCGGGTTCTCCCTGCCAGGGCGGCGAGGCAGGGCAGGGCCTGAGGGCAGCTGCCTTGCTCATGAGCTAGGGGCTGCCTGGGGTGAGCTCGGGGCAGGTCTGGGGTCCTGGGCGCCGTCCGGGCCTCAGGGGGTCAGCCGGTTGTCCCTCGGCCTTTGGTCGGTAAGCGAGGACAAGCCTAGCCTGGCCCCCCTGCCAACCTGGCCCTGGCTCCGCACACACCTCAGGGCGGGCGGGGCACAGCCCGCTCAGCCCCCCACACACCCTCCCTGCCGGAGACCCCGGCCTCCGGCCCGTCACCAGTTGGCTTTCTGAATATTTGGGAAGTGTGACGGGGGGAGGGTGGGCGCCGGGGTGGGGCCAAGACCTGCACTGTGTGGGAGGCTCTGACCAGCAAAGCCAGGGCCTGCCTGCCGGCGGGACAGTGGGGACCAGGGGGGACCGAGAGCCTCTCTCGCACCCACGTGGGGGACGACCGAGCCCGGGCTCACTTTGGGATGACACTGACGCAGAAAGGACTGTTCTGGGAGCGGAAGGGAGGGGCCCGCATGAATATGCAGAGAAGACCTCCCCCACCTCCCCCAAACCCGCTCCCAGGCCCTCCTCACACCGATTGGCAAAACCGAGGACAGCGAGCCAGCGCGGAGCCAGCGGTGTGAGAGAGCAGACTCCCTGTTATATTTGCATGATGATTTTCCTGTATTTTTCTGAGCAAACATCTGTCGTGTATGTGCCGGTTTGTCCAGACTCCCCTGCCCCCCTCCCCGCCCCCCCATCCCCCTTTGCCCACGAACCCTCCGGGGTGATCTGACAAGCAGCTCTTGACACCCGGGAGGCCCAGCTCTGCCACAGACCCAAAACAGGTGCCACCCAAACACCGCCCTCACCCACGCCCGCATCCCGTCTTTCCCAACTTGGGGCTCACAAGTGCCACCTCCCCTCCTCCCTCTGTCCCTCCTGTCCACGGTCCCTTCCCGTCCGTCCTCCCTGCCAGAGAGGGACAGCCCCGGGGAAGGGTCGTGGGGAGACCTCTGTCCTGTCCCACTTGCTCCCGTTTTGCAGATGGAGCAGTCAGGACCCCCAAAGACGGAGGGACCAGGTGGGGTGCGGGGTCAGGGGCCCTGCTGAGGAGGCCAAGGGCTAGGGGCCTCTCGGACGGCTTTATGGGGAGGTTTGGGGCCTGAGGGAACACCCCTGGGAGGAACCGGAGAACTGGGGCCAGAGGGTGGCCCCCAGGGAGGGTGCTGGCAGCAGGAGCGGGGCCTCTCTTTGACACGCCCCGCCATTCCTGGTCGAAGTGAGACCTCAGACGGGCACTTTGGGGAGCTGTATGGACAGGCTTCTGTCTTAACAGACAGGGTCCTGCCACCCCAGGGGGTGAACTGGCCTTCACCACTAGGCCACCCCTGTCTTTGGGGCAAAACAGTTTCTAAAACTCGGGCCTCTGGAGTTCCCTGCCAGCCTCATCCCTCAGCTGCCCTCGCTCTAGGGCAGCGACCCCCTCCCGCACCGCAGCGCCCCCTGGAGGCTCCCTGCACCCGTGTCCCACCCAGGGTGATTCCTCCCCAGGCCAGAGCACACAGTCACGAAAGACAGACGCCACGGAGTCCGGCTGGCCAGGGCCCCATGTCTGTAACAGTGAACGGGGACCGGGGCCGCGGCCTGGGCTGGGGGCCCTGGTGGCGTTGGGGGACCAGCCGTCTGGAGGAGACGTGGGTGCTGTGCCCAGACCTCCTGGCTGAGGCCCCGCTGCTCTGGGTCTGGCCTGGGCTTGCTCGGTGCCCGTTCCTGGGGGGTGGCTCCGACGGGCCCGCTCTCCCCTGAAGGGAACAGCAGGCCCCCCGAACCTCTGGGAGCCAGCGGCTTTCCAGAGGGAGCCCCTCGCCAGGGGTCCTGGGGGGGTTCTCCTCTCTGCAGGAGCGGCCTCTCCCGCGGACGAGGAGGCCGCCCGGGTCCAGGCTGGGGGGGATGGCGGCGCGGAGGCCCCCGTGGGAAGAGGAGACGGGAGGGCCCCAGAGAGGCAGAGGGGGTCTGGGCCTGGCAGAGCATCCCTGACGCTCTCAGCCGGAAGTCGCTCCCTGTCCCTCTCCTGGGAATTGAAGAGGAGAAAGGGAAGGAGGGAACTCCTCTAGGGTCTGGTAGGAACAGACTGAGGCCAGGACGGAGCCAGGCATGGGGACAGCAGTGGCCGGTCCCATGCTTAGATGGGGTTCACATTCAATGAAGGGACAGCCACAGACTGCTCCCCAGGGGTGGACACTGTGCAGGGAATGAAACGGGGGTGAGGAAGGAAGAGGGGGGCCCGGGGGCCCCTCAGAGGAAGAGACCCTTGGCAGCCCAGCTCTGAAGGCCACGAGCTCTGAAGAGGACTGGCTGCCGGCTGCGTGAGCCTGAGGCTGGAGGGCGAGGGGCTGGGCCTGGCTGATGCCCGGAAGTGCCTCCCCAGGTCGCCCCCACCCTCTGCCCCTGCCCTCCGAGAGAACCTGCCACTCAGCAGCACCACACCCCCTCCCTGGACAAGTGGGGCCCTCTTTCCCGGGGGTGGGAGGGTGGGCAGGGCCCGGGGAAGCCCTGGGGTGTCTGGTAGCTGTAGGGTGAAGGTTGGGGCTCCCCTGATTCCAGGGCTGTTCTCTCCGCTGAGACGTCTGCTCAGCCCCAGACGCTGCACACCCCTTCCTCTGGCCCCGTACCCCCACCTTTAAGACAGAACCATGCGCACACTCCCTGCCCCTCACTCAGACCCAGAGTCCCCGTCCGAGGTCCCTCGCTGCTGCCGAGCAGTGGGGAGAGGGAAAGGGGGTGGGTGGGGAGAGTCCTCTTACAGCCCCTGCCCCTGCCCCTGCCCCTGGCCACCCCAGCCCGGTGCACTGCCAGGGGTGAGGGGTCCGTTTTCCCACCCTCCGTCCTCCCTCCCCGACAAGGAGGCTGCCCCCTGGCCCCGGGGCTTGGCACCTGGTTTGGGTCCCGCAGAGCTGGGCCGGGCCCTGGGCCCAGAACCTGTGAACCCTCGCTGTGTGGGACCTTAACTCCCTGGGGGCCTGAACCCTCCCCGTTCCTTCTTTTCTGGGGGCAATTTCTTTTCTTTTCTCTTCCCGACACCTCCCTCTCCCTCTCCCCAAATCTCTGTTTTAAACTGAATGGCACGAAATTGTTTTCCTCAACTCGAAGATTCCTGTATGGAGAGAATCAATTTCTATATTTGCAATAAATTTCTTATTTAAAACAACGGGGCCAAGGTCTGTGTTGACTGTCACTCTGTCTGCACCCCCCGCCCCCCCGCACCCCTCCCAGGTCCCCAAGTTGGAGTCCCAATGAACCAAGTCTCTGGTGCCTCCTGCCCATGTTCCTCTCCCCTCGGCCTCCCAGGCAGGGGTGAGGGAGGAGGCGCACCGGGTGTGCGGTCACCACGCACGCGGCCCAGGAGGAAAGAGGGTGTCTGCCTCCCAGGGTGGGCTGCCAGGAAGGTAGAGGCTGGATGCCCCTCTGCCCGCTGCCCTCGCTCCCCTCCCGGTGCCCTGGCTGAGTCGGCACTGTCTTCAGACCTTAGGGGTGGAGGGACATCTGGGCACCACTGTCCCAGCTGGTTCCCAGGGTTACGCCCCGCCCCCGAGGGTTGGGGGGAAGTGGGACCTGGTGGGTCTCTCTCTGTCCGTTGCCAGGCCAACTGCCAGGCTGCCGGCTCTTTGCGAGGTGGCTCCCCGGCCTGCTGCCCTGTCTCCTCAGCTATGACGCCCCGACCTGGGCCTCCTCAGGGGTCAGGTGGTGCCATTCGGGGCTCCCGGTCTCCATCCAGTGACCTCAGGCCTGTGCTCAGGTGCAGCCCAGAGCGCACCCCAAGCCCAGCCTCCTTGTCTCCCAAGAAGCAGAGTCCCTCCCCATCCATTTCTTGGACCCCTGAGTCCAACGGCCACAAAGCCCTGGTCAGGGAAGCCCCCGCATTCAGCCGGGGGCTCTGGGAGGGGCACGTGGAGGGGCCCCTGGCTCTGAGCGGGTCCCAGTGAGTGAGGTTCCGGCGTGGCGTTTGCCTCTCGGACCGTGGGTCAGAGTGCTGTGCCTGGTGGCTTTCAGCCCCTGGGTCTTTCCTGATCCCTCTCCCCTCCCTGGGAGTGAGTGAGGCCTGCGGGGAAGCTCCGGGAAGGCCCGGGGCTGGCGCCCAGCCGGCCTCCCGGCCCCTCCACATGGCCCTCTGGCCCCCTCAGCGCCTCTGAGCCAGGGGCCTGCAGTGTGGGCCCGGCCCCCGCCTCCTTCCCCTGGATCTCCTGCAGCTGCTCCTGCCCTGCTTCCTGCTGGAAGGCTCCCAGGAACTGGCACCGTGGGGAGGGGAGAGGGAGGGGGAGGGAGACAGAGGAAGATACAGGGCCAGGTTTGTGGGAGGGGACGGAGGAGCAGGTACTGGAACCTCATAGGTTCTGTCATCCCAGGTCCCCAAGCTTGTCTGGGGCTCAGGGCAGCCTCTTCCTCAGCATGGGCCTCTCCTCGGGGTGGGAGGCCCGTTATTTCTGAAGAACCAAAGATGTGACCAATGGTGGTCATGAGCCTACCCCCCCCCCCCCCCCCCCCAGGCACTGGGATTAGGGGCGACGAGCAGTTACCGGAACTGGGAAGGGGCCTCCAGGGCAGCTGTGCTGTCGTGTACAGAAAGGCTCCTCCCCTTAGTTAGTACTCGGGCTTCACAGTGAACTCGAGTCACTCCAGTTACAAATTCAGAGTCCCACGCCTTTTCTTTGAAACACGAAACTATTCTCTCCCTCTCAAACGAGTGATTGTCACACTCCCAGGTCAGGAGGCTTGGGGTGAAGTTAGATCCTGTTTACAAATGTCACTAATTCCATGTTCTTCTCTCCCCCCACACTTGGTCCGGAGATTCAGTCTGTCTGACTTCCTTTTTAAGTGCTTCGTGTATCTGAAGCATAAACAAGACCGCGTGTGCTGGGAACTCTGGGAGTTCGGGGTGACTGTGACTGCTTGCCACGCCCCCATCTCCTGGTCACGTGAGTCCCAAGGGAAGTCACCATCCTGAGCTAGTTCCTCGTTGACAGATAACCAACGTGAACGTCAAGGACGCTGGCACTTACAAGCGCAAACATCCGCAAATCCCCGGACGCAGGCACGCCCAGCTGTCCAAATGCGAGCCGACAGGTGTGTCCTGCCTCCTCCCCAGTGTCCAGGGGCGAGATGTATGCCTCGGTGATGAAACAGGCGCCACCCAATGAGTCTGCCTTGGGGCCTTGGGGGGTAAAACCTCCCTGGCAGAAGCTCCCACAGACTGGCATGTTGGCTGGGATAAGGGTTGGGGTGCTATAGGCAGGAGCCCAGTTCGGGGAGACCCCTCTCTCACACGGCCTATCTCGGGTACTCTAAATGGGGCGCTCTCACACCGGCGCCAGGGGGCCACGCGGCCAGTGCCCTGGCTCCTCTGTCTTCTCCCGGAAGTCTGCCCGGAAGTATGCCACCCACCCATGTCCTCCCTCCCCATCTTGACCCTGTCCAACGCCTGCCTGCTTCCCTCCCCAGATTCATGAGCACCCCTCCCACACAGCAGCAGTGGGTGGGTATGGGGTGCAGCTCCCACTCCGCTGGGGCCGGGTGCTCCCAGTGCATCCATCTGGGCTCCTTTGTGTGGGGAAGTTGGGTGTGTGGGGGGGGGCGCGAGGGGGAAGGGAGAGGTTGGAGGAGGCTTGGTTTGAAAGTGTTCTCAGTTCCAAGCGACCCCTCCCGGCGGCTGGCCAAGGAAGTCCCCTGGTCTGAAGTGTGGCCTGGTTCAGCCCCCTCTCCCAGGCCCCCACCTCACCTTAGCAACAGTCTCTTCCTGCAGCGCCCTCACCACGAGCCACCGCTGGAAGGGGCATGAGGGCATCGCTGTTCCCGGAGGCCCAGCCCTGGTCGGTGGGCCGAGCCCCGCTTTCCCCAGGCTGCCGCCTTCTGCCTCTGCCTCAGGGGTGGGGGTGTCTGTGGGACCAAGGGACCTCCTCCCTCCTCCAGGTCAGGGCCAGGGCAGCCTCCCGCCCAGGCCTCACCACTGAGCTGGGCCCGCTGGCCTGCCCGTCCCCGAGTGTCCCCCCACCAGTCTGCTGCCCTTTTCTCCACAGCTATGCACCCCATGCTTGCTCCTCCTCAGGGCTCCAATGATGCAACTTGTTTTTGGTCAGGCATGGAGGGTGTGAGGCCTGCGGGGAAGCTTCCGGGAAGGCCCTGGATCTCCTGCAGCTGCTCCTGCCCCGCTTCCTGCGGGAAGGCTCCTAGGAACCGGCACCGTGGGGGGAGGGGCCAGGGCCAGGTTTGTGGGAGGGGACGGAGGAGCAGGTACTGGAACCTCACACGCTCTGCCCTCCCAGGCCTGCCACTGGGCTGTCCCGCCCCTCTCTCCCGCCTCCACACACACACACACACACACACACACACACTTAGACCATGTCAGGCCACCCCACCAGCTGCCATCCTGCTGCGGGCGTGGGGTTCCCCGCCATAGTAAGTATGACATAGTTGCAAATCTGTCCCTCAGAAGGACCTGGCATGAGGTCCCAGGAAAGGGGCTCTTAGCGTGCTCATGCGCGTTCTTGCTCCTTCACACCTTGGTGCTCCCAGTTCGGACCTGGCTTCTCCTGACTCCGTACCTGGGGCCTCCGCAAGGAAGGTCCTCACTCTGCGGGAAGCTGCCCAGCCCCTTACTGCCCCCCATGCCCAGGCTTTGCAGGTCTCCCTGGGCTGTACGCCAACCTGGTCCTCATTGCTGGGTCTGGACTTTCTCTTGGCCCCAACTCACCCTGATTCCCTCGATAGCAGGCCCCCAGCTGCAGCTTTCCTTGTTTAGCCTCCTCATGTGTAGCCACTTCCACGTGGGTCAGGGCCCATCCCACACGAACCGCCTTCCGAGGGCTCTCTACCTGCCAGAGAGGAGGCCCGGTGCCAGGTGTGAGCTGGGGGCGAAGGTTCCGGGCTCTCGCATTCATTGTCTTTGTTGCTCCTCTGGTGGGTCACGCCGGGCGTCTGTCCTGGTCCCTCTCAGGCCTGGCCACCCGGGGAATTCAGCAGCCGCTGCCTCCTCGGGGCTCCTGGCTCTCTGACCATCCTCCCTGCATGCCCATCAGGTACCACGATGTCACTATGTGTGAGCCCAAGACGGCAGAGTCCCTGGCACTGAAGCCCTCGGCCGTGGTTCGCTCAGGTCTTCTCAGCTTCTTTCTTCAATCCTGCCTGGAGGGTTTTATGACTTAATCTTCACGGCCCAACCTCCAGGCGTGGTCTGGGGCTGCCTCTCTGGCCTGGGGCCCTGGCCTGCTCTGGGTACGTGCTCTGTCCTCAGTGCCAGCACTGCCACTTCCTCCCTCCCCAGGTCCCCTCGTAACGGGGGCCCTGGCCCAGATCTCCTTTCTTGGGTGCAAGTAGCTGTCCCCCACCTCTCTGCCAGGCTGTCTCCGGTCCTCTTGGTTCCTGCCCAGCAAAGGCACGATCACGTGTGAGGGAGTGTACACAGTGACGGGGTGGAGACATGGGAGGGAGACACCATCCTCATCCTAGTATCCTGGCCGCCTCTCCATCCATTGTTTAGACCAGCAACCAGAATCTGGAGTGGTCCAGGGGAGAAAATGCACCCACCTACCCCTTCTCTTTCTGCTTCTGCAAACAATATATCTGTCCCCACCCTCTACTTGCAAACGATGTTTCTGTCCCCACCCTCTCTTGGCTGGGCACAGTAGCGGTGGGTTTATCACCTTCCGCCTGGGCCAGAACAGAATGCCCTGGAGCTAATGCAAGCAGGGAAGCGGTTCCTGAGAAGAAACCCAAGGTGTGGGGGTTCCGGGGAAGGCTGAAGACCCAGAGTCAGACCTGTGCGGCCCAGACTGACTGTCAAAGTAGCGGTGCAGACCTGGGCCACCCCGGAGGCCGGGAGCCCTGGCTCATCAGGAGGCCTCAGGCTGCTGGAGCCAGCACCCCTGCCGCCACATGGGTGACCTTGGAAGTGGGTGCCGGGCTGAGGGTCCTTGCCTCCTTGCACACCTCTCCGAAGAGCGACCCGCACAGCTGAGACCACCTCTGACTTCAGCTCCAAGAGGGCTTGGCAGGAGGTTTCATAGCTTTCTGGCCTCCACAGTGCCAGTGGGCGCCCTGCCAGAGGGCGAGTCAGTCCCTCGCACGTGTCCCTCAGGCCAGGTTGCGTTGAATTCCCATAGCAACCTTGTCAAGTACAGTAGGTGCTTCAGCTGTTTTACGTGTTGGCAAACAGGATCAC